AAGGTGTGCGTATGTATTTCCATATAAGACGTGTCATTGACCTATGTATAGAACAATATAAACAAGCAAATTCGTTGAATTTATATCCCCCGCCGAGTACTGGTTATTATTAACACAACAACTTAAGACATATAAGGCTTTATTTATATATTAATCATGACATAAACTGTAATATTCTTTGAACTTGAAGCCTTGTACCTTCAAACAAGAAGAACTTTTAAGTTTTCACTATATACATATAAGGAAAATCTATGACCCCCTGGAGTGGGTCAATTTTGACCCCAGGGCTAAAATTTGAACAATTTTGGTAGAGGACCTATAGGTTATATCATATACCAAATACCAAAGCTCTAGGCCTTGTACTTTCAGACAAGATTTTTTAATTTTGCATTTTCGAAACTCCTTTTCTGGCCCTGTGACCTACTTATGCAACAGACCGGAACCATTTTATAAACTTTGGCAGGGGACCACCCAAGGATCATTCCTGTAAAGTTTGGTTGCTGTGCAGTCATTTGTTTCTGAGGAGATGTTGTTTAAAGAAATTGCTGACGACGCACGACGACGGACGGTGGGGGATCACAATAGCTCACCTAGATGTAAAAACATCTTAATCTCCAGACTTCATTGCCATTTTCAAGGCATCAAGAAGGGATCTCACAACTTTCAAATATTTTTAAATGTTATTGTAACAAATCATTTTAATTCTTCTTTAATAAAAACTAGAAATGTGGCCATAGGACACAGGTGCCCCCACCGCGCCACTGTTCTGTCAATCTTATGACTCTAGGTCAAATATTTTTTGAAAACTAAAAATCTTTTTACTAAGTAAAGGGCCAGAACTTTACAAATACTGAATAAATCCCCAAGCAAACCCCAAGTTGAAAATTGCAAATTTATACTACTGTAATTCAAGGGCAATAACTCTAACAAAACTGAAAAAAATCCACATGCAAAGTCCCAGGTTCATAGCTTCACAGTGAGGTGAATCATTATTCCTGTAATTTAGTGATGTTGATCATTATTCCTGTAAAGTTGGTCGATTCTAACTCAAGCACTCAAGGATCAAATAACAACATAATGAAACAGTTTTTACTAAGTCAAGGGAAATAACTCTACAAATACTGGATAAATCCACAAGCGAAACCCCAGGAACAAACTAAATATGCTGAGCAACTTTCCAATAAGGTTTAATGACTCTATGTCAAATCCTTTTTGAGTTACATGCGACACATGTTGAAAATTGCAAACATTTTCTAAGTCAAGGGCAATAACTCTAAAAATACTAAATAAATCCAGACGAAAATACCCAGGTGCACAACTACGCATGCTGATCAACATTCCTGTAAAGTATCATGACTCTAGGTCAAATACTTTTTGAGTTACATGCGACACAAGTTGAAAATTGCAAAATTTTACTAAGTCGAGGGCAATAACTCTAAAAATACTAAAAATATCCAGACGAAAATAGCCAGGTGCACAACTACACATACTGATCAACATTCCTGTAAAGTTTCATGACTCTAGGTCAAATACTTTTTGAGTTACATCGATTCTAGTAACTGTTGAAAATTACAAAATTTTACTAAGTCAAGGGCAATAACTCTAAAAATACTAAAAATATCCAGACGAAAATACCCAGGTGCACAACTTCACATGCTGATCAACATTCCCATAAAGTTTCGTTGAATTCTAGCCATTAGTTGCAGAGAACTACTCCGGAAACGAAATTCGGACGGACGGATGGACGGACGGAAGGACGGACGGACGGACAACGCCATAACTATATCCCCCTCCCGATTCCATCGGCGGGGGATAACAACTATGAAAGAGGACTCCTGTAGTGTTGTTTATGTGCTTTGATTTCAAATATATCATTTAAAGAGAAGCAAAATTACACATTAGGAACAACAGATAAATAGTGATCCCAATTCCTGTTTATGCTCACCAGAGCACAACTAATTGCTCATAGTGAGCATAAAAGGGAATTATATTGTAAGAGGGCTTGGTATAATGATCATCTCCTGTATAAAGATTAAACGACAATAATCAACACAAATATAGTTTATTCCTTTTCCCTATATATCTAATACTATCCCTGATCCCGGGCGTCCCAGATCCCTGATCCCGTGATTTCCCCCCATCCTAAATACCGGAAAGAAAAAAATGACCGGAAAAAAAGAAAAAGAAAAAAATGCACAGAACCAGATATACACTTATGTTTTATTTATCAAACGAAAGCTTACTACAGAGAAAAAAAGTGAAATCGCTTAATCAAAGTCAGTGTAAATATTATTCATGAAAACAAACATTTTAATCATCATTATATAAATCATCATTATATCTTTGCGCTCAAAGCAATACTTGCTGCTTTTTAAAACTGGCGTGAAAATTGAAGGTTTTTTGACGTAAGGTTCAACTTGATTGGCTAAATAATTTTGGATTCCAGTCAAGATAGATTAATTTAGTAGAAAGCTGGAAGCCAAGCTTCGATTACATTTTTGGATAGATTCGGAGTTTTAGGTTGTTTCTCGTAAAATCCTAACGTAATACCGGCTCGCCGTGGCGAGCCGGCATAAACTTATTAATAAATTATTGACAAAGAATTTGGTTCAACATTCAACATTGGAGGATTTGAGCACACTATACCTTGTTGAGAGGCGGACATATGAACCATTATGTCAACACCTCCAGATTCTTGTTTAGAATTTCATAGTTTATAAACTTTCAATTGACAATGTAATACATTCCTAGAAGAAAATCTATGATTTACTGGTGAAATCATTGGTGAATTATAGGCTAAACATTCTTGTCTGTCATTTTCAAAAATGTGTGAGTTCATTTACGTGATCATTTTGGTTCAGTTTTCATTGGCTGTTAGTCGTGGCGTATAAATGTGTAATTCTTTATTTGATGTTATGTAGTACATTTTGTTAAGTTGATTGTACATTTGATATTTTATGTTGCAATGATATGTGCTTTGAAGGTAAATTATAGAACCAATTTTATTCTAGTACAGAGGATGATAAATCTGACAGAAATATGTTTAAGGAGGAACAGCATATACTTTCATCCTACTCCAAATTTGACTTCACAGACAAGAAGCAGAACCAACACATATGTGTAAAATATTGAAATAACAATGGGAGATAAAGAGGACTACATAAATGTATTGGTTCTTACAGACGAGTTTAACTCGGCTTTCGAAAGCATGAACAAAGTCAACCCTAGCTATAGTCCAATTGTTTAAAAAAAAGTTCAATATTTCATCGACAAAGAAGAAGTGCACACATGAAGTGATTATTTCTGATTTGGAGCAGTTTATTTTACTTTTATGAAAAGCCATCGATATCCTATTGTTTAAATTCAAATTGTACTACTAAAAAACTCTGGGAAATTATAGATTTTTAATTATTTAAATTAACTTAAAAATAAACCTTGTAATAGACATCATTATCATATTAATGTTACAATAATTTTTTATGTGTTTAAAATTCTTTTCTTTTTTGTAATTGATATAATTATCTTATCTGCTATGTTTTCTTAACAAACACACTAAAAGTGAACTTAAATAAATAAATATGTCTTAAAATCAACGCATGAATATCCATTTTCAAAGATATCTATGTTTTGAGCACCATTTTCTAGATTTTTTAACAAACCTTGACCGTTGTAATTTGAATGTACGAACAACGGCGCTCATGGCATTACAAGGCTTCCGGTCAAAAATAACTTTAAGCTCTATAGTCATAGGGTAGGGTCATTATCATTTAAGAAACAAATAGTATAATATACATGTTATATGGTAGATGTATCTAAATGAATGTATTTTACAAGCTTGTTCGTTATCAGAGATAACCCGTACGATTTAATTAATAAAGCAGTTATATCTGGTAGCCTAAAATTAGAGAACAAGATTTAATGACAGATAGCATTTTTATAAAGTTTACAGGTCCATGATTTGGAAAAGTTCCCAATGCCCAATGGGAAGATGTATACCTATCTTTCGTCTTAGTAACATGAGAAATATACAAGTATATAAATCAAACGTATTCCAATGCTTTATCAGTCAAAGCCTTCATCTATGATACAGAGTAATTACTTGACCAATACTGTTTCAAAAAGTCCCCAATTGTAATTATAAATAAATTGGAAGAAGGACCTACAAATTTACTTTCGGACAATTAATCGGATATTCGGCAGGTGTGATAATTGGCATTTAACAATTAACAGTTAGCATTAAGCAGTCGCCAGCAAGCATTAAGCACTTGACAGAAAGCAGTGGACAGTAAGCAGCCGACAGTAGGCAGTTGACAATAAACAGTAGGCTATCGTTTATAAAAAATCCGTAGGTTATAGTTTTATTTATGAAAAAAGTTATATTTTTCTTATTTTAAACTTGATATTAACTAACTTTTTCTTGTTTTAAAAAGACATGATTGCTTTTTCGTTTAATTGTCCATTTTTATCGACAAGACGGTCCTTATCATCGGATATATACATGCCTCTGCATGTATATATTTTTTTCTCTCGTCTGGTATGTTCTTACTTTTAATTCATTGAAGGAAAACCATATAGTTCGCCAAAAATGAGACTCGTCATTCGTTCTCACCCGTTCTCCATTATATAAAAATAATATGTCTGTTGTTCATTTGTGTGTATATTATGTATACTTTTGGGGAAAATATGTTAAAGCTTTACTACGCTTATCTTTGAGTCAAATATCTAAATAACAGAAATATATTGAAATCCATAAAATTGTTAATGAATATGTCTTATTTGTAGAAAAAGAACGTATAAATTATGTATGGGTGGCTGCGTTCGCTATTACAGGTCATTTAAAACTAATTAAAACTGATAAAATAGGCAAGTGATGTTAACGTTGCATTGGCCAAAATAGGGGAAACACACACACACACACACGCACACGCACACGCACGCACGCACGCACGCACGCACACACACACACACACACACACACAATAACAACTATAACTGGTATAAAAAGATGAATTAATTTTATTTATAACATTTTCAGCATGTACTATATATAAAAGCTAACATTGAATTACAAATATTTTCACTAACTGTGAAGTATACAAATGCAGCACAGTTGCACACTGCGTACAAACATATGAATTATGTACGTCTTATTAAATAAAAGCAATGTCAAATTCGAAAATGTCATTTAAGAAACGCGAGCTTAACTGTTAGAAAAAATCATGCAAATTTACTCTTAGACATACTTTCTTTTTTTAAATGTTGACAAGTGTCAAAACAAGCTGTCACACCAATTGTTAATCATCGGTATGACAAGCGATCATTAGCGTATTTTCTTAGCACTTTCTATCTGCTTGAGACGATCGTTTGCGTATTTCAAGCTCTGTTTAAGTGCAAGAAGCAGTGGGATGTTATTTTCTGGAGTCAGTGTGTAATCCACTTCATAATTCACAACAGGATGAATCGACGCTTGATCGATATGAAATATCTCGCTTGCAGTTCGTACAGCTTTTTCTATTTTTTTGCTCCGAAACATGTTTTTGATGTTCTCTCGGACTTGGTCACACAGGCGGTCAGCCTGTGTAAGAATAAGTGTCCTCGGTATATCTGTAGTTAGAAAAAGACATATACATAAAATTGGTAGTATAACCAATCAATGTAGATTAGTAAATTGCGATTATTAGATATCACCAATCTATTACATGAAAGTGTCTCCAAATTAATCAATCATGTAGTGAAATAGACAAAATAAATGGCCCTTTTTTACTTAAAAATGTATTATTTCTATCTCTCAAAAGTTTTTCTTTATTTTTGTTATCCAGTTATAGTTTCAAAAAAAAATGTTACTCGTTGGTCTTTTACCTGAGCCATAAGTTTGCTTCTAATGCTTTATTGCAATTAGTTTAATTATAGTGACTAAGTTTTTTGTATGGAAGTCAAAATACTAACATTGCTTATATTTTGCTTCCAATATGACACATGATATCACATCAGGTCAGAATTTAATATGCTCCATAACCATAATTTTACTGTTATAAAACTCATGTTAGCCCGTTGTAAAGAATGAAAAAAATATTCTTCTCTTTGGCATATTGTGTCTCTTATACCGTACATGTGAGTGAGAAAATAAAACATTGTTTTCATGAATGGTAAAATGTAATAAGCATATGAATTATAGGTCTTATAAGGGTCATCGCTTCAAAAAAATATTTCTTACGATTTTTGATTTAAATCCGTATTTGTGCAGTTTCAGAAGAAGTTAATTAGTTTAAGAGTTACAACAAAATTCATTGCAAGCAATTCAAATTAGAGAAACTGGAACGTTAGCCAATAATTTTTTAACTTAAAATGTTCCGTGATTCAAACAAATAAACATATGATTATTACTCTCGATCTCTTAGATCGAAATATGTTTTGACTCACCTTCTAGCCGAAGATTGTCTTGTAATTGACCTATTTTTCTGATAAAATCGTATGGTATGCCATAATATATATCTTTAGCGCTGATAACAAAAATTACACAGGAGATCACATCCATCGGTTCAGGTTCTTTTCTAAAGCTTTTGTTGTCGGTTGTTATTTTTGAAGCAGGATTGAACTGAAATTTAAGTAAAGTTGTTAATGAAAATTAAATTAGTACTTTTTAAAAATCAGTGTTTAATTGCAGCAAAATATACAAATTAATGACGATTTTTTAAATTCATTACCCTGATAAATGCCTAGATGCCTTTTTGTTAAAATTTTGATTTTGAGGATCTAGGCAAAAATACACTTTAGATGAGTAAAAAAGAAGGCGGAGGTGTAAATTAGATTTTCGATTAAAATTGATGTATTTTAAGCTCGATTATGAAACAAGTTCTTGCAACTTATATTTATCACTTTCGAGTCAGCTTCCTGGAACCAACCAGTACTGGTGTCATATGAAGAAACATGGTCGTGACCAGAGTAGGGCTCGAACCCATGATCTCTGGGTTGAGAGGCAATCGCTCCACCTTAAATGACTTTTCTGTCTTGTAAATGATTTTCTTGTATAGGTTTGAAAAATATACTTAGCATATGAAAAAAAAACCCCAACAAAATCAACACAGTAAAGGTCATATGGCGACTTTCCACATTTTATGATACTGTTTTAATGCAAGACGATAAAAGCGAATCAACGTACTATTTCCACATTCCTTCAAGCAGATAAATGCTCTTAAAATTGATTACTTAAAATAATTTAAAATGTTAAAATTAAGTAAACCGTGTAGTTATTCGCTATATGTCCCTTCACTAGGTATATGAAGTCATCAACATGAAATCCAATACCGTCACTTGGCTCGATTCCCATCGTGTCTCGAAACACGAAATTTTCCAAAAGATTTTCTGGAAGGTACCCACTGTACTGAAAACAGAATAATTGTACATATATTAAAGCAAATATTAAACGTACACTCAATGCTAAAACGACATGATAAAAGATATTTATACACTCGAAGTACTCTACTTTATTACTTGCAAACATGTATCATAAAAATTAAAATTAAACAAATGTGCGTTTAATTAATACGAAAACTATTTAACTGCATGATAATTTTTCAAGACTTTTATGTCCCGTACCCTAAGGTAAGAACCTCCAAATGCATTATCACCGCTTTGAACTGTATTCAAATAAGCTGGAATAACTGTAAGCTGCATTGATACTGAAGGGCGTGGGATCAAACCCAAGAAGGGACATTTTTAAAAAAAAAATTAACATTATGTATGAATCTGTAAGGTCCCTTTTGAAAAGAAAGAAGTGTTTGATTTTTATAATATAATCATTGTAGTATTTATTGGCTAATTAATGCCAAATTTAATAACATATATGGTATCTGGTATTTTTAAGTATTATAAAATAAAAACTTCATGGTAAAAGTATTTTATATTTTTCAAGATAAATTCAGGTAAACAGCCTATCATTGTAATAATTTTATAGATATTTTAAATGAGACTTTTTTGTACGGGAACTGGTCGAAAATTGTTTAAAGTGCGGGGGATGTTAGGGTAAAATTTTTTATAATTTTAAATTTAGACTGTTTAATGTGTAGAAACAATCATTTTGCTATTTTTGTTTCTGAATGTTATTTTTTTGTTACTTAACAATGAGCAATTGGATAACATTTTACATTATGATAATTTTTTAGATTATGAAGTTTCCTTATTTCTGAAAAAGAGCCCTACATTGAGCAAAGTTTTAGTTCAGATAAATGTCCATAACTCATAAACCATATGGTTAACTTTGTTTAAATTTTGCATACAGGTGTCCCCTAAAGTATACAACTATGTTGTCAATTTTACAGTTCCTTTTAATGCCCATTAGGAGTGTCTTACCTTAACAGTATAGCTTGATCCAGAACCTCCTGTTTTAGCCCTTGTTGATTTTTCTCCATCACAAATAGTAAATATGGCACTTATAAATGATGATTTTCCAGCTCCAACCGGTCCCGACAAAAGAATGTTTACTAAACTTTTTGGTTTTATCTTTTTGATGTCTTCAATAAGAGCCTGTTCAACCTGCATTATATAAAATCATATTTTGCTTATTTTAGACACGAACAACAAAAAATAAACCCATTTCATCTGCATAAAGATAATTTTACAATTTTACATTATGCGTTTCATGTTTATTTTTTAGATTCTGAATATGCTCTTACTGCTCAATTTGTCAAAACAGGAACACCAGAAAACGCACCTTAGTACTTGCACCTCAGAGAAAAAACAATTCTTACAAGATATCATAAAACACTCACGCACATTCATTGTAAGAAATTTAGTATCCGAAAAATTAAGTTTACCTGTGAGTTCCAGTTTGATGGCTCTCTCCATGGTTTGTCTGTCAAAGGGTATTCATAAGTTACTGATTGTTCTAAAGTTAAGAGAAAAAGGTTTATATCGAGTTTAATTACAACACACACATATAAACCGTTTGTAAACTGTTTGTCTTTCGGGCAGTACTGAATAAAAGTTAGATTTGAATTGGCTGTTTTAAATTCACAAATTGAAAACACGAAATTTCATTGGCCCTTTTAAAATAAGCAAAAACTATAAAGGCTTTTTCTGTAACGTATACAGGCCTAAATGTTTAGTTAATCGAATACTTTCTAGAATTTAAAATACAATGTATGTGAATCGTGATTGCTTCCTACATTCAAAAAGTTTACAACAATTTACAGAACTTTTAAAATTGTATTAACTTTCCAGTGATAACACTATTCAAAATAAAATAAATACTGAGTTAAAGTGAACTTTTATGAGTTTTGCGTGTTGATATACGCATGAAAATACCGAAAGGTGTCAAAATTGATATAAAGAAAAAATACTAACTTTTCTTGTACCCTCAGCATTCATGATATTAAATAATGATTGATGTTTTCCTTTGATATAAATATGTGTATGTTAATAAGGCATATATGAGTGTGTAAATTAAAATGTTTGTGTAAAAATCTTGAGAAAGTGTGATCCCTCTAACATAAATCACAATAAAATTACATGAAAATTGTAGACTCGGTTTGATTGAGGATACATTTGCATTGTTTCATTATCTTATGCTATAACAAAACTCCAAAATAAAGTATGCAAATAAATGTAGTTTTATCTCGTCCGAGTACCTTTTGTAAAGGAACTTCTTTTTTTAAAATGCTCTTTCAGTACGATAACCCCAACTTTTGTTTTTACTGTGTGTGTTTCATTGGATTTTCCTTTTAAGTTGGTCACGATTTTTAATTTTTAGCCGGAAATGTTAAATTGGCAACTTATTCAAAAGATCGCTTATTGATAAATACTTGAATGAAATGCTGACAACCTATGTCAAAAATGTCAATTTTTTGTCATGAAAGTTATGTATTGTTAAAATTTTGTTACTCTCAAAATTTTTTCTGTTGTTTTTTATACTAATGCATTTTTAATGATTATCAACAACTGAATTATCAATAATTTAACTAGTGAAATATTTGCCACATATATGCCACTTTTGCTTTTAGGTCTAGTTTGAAAAAGAAAAGAAAAGAAAAACAAAACAAAATACTCACTTGATTCTGATGTACCCATTTTTTGTTCTTACTCGATTCGAAGCGCAGGAGTTTGTAACGATCAGGCAACCATTGCTTAAATATCAATCCGATTTACGACAGTTAGATTCAATACAATTATTCAATTGTCTATCTTTGGTAAGTGTAAACATGCTTTAAACATGGAACAGCATTACTGAATTGTAAATTTATTTGATCTGTGCGGTGTTGACATTCGGGTAAACGTCTATATACACCCAATGTTAAATTTCATAACAAAAAAGATTTCAATGAAATAGTCGAGCTTTTATTGGTAATGTTGATCAATTCATACCATATATGGCAATAGCAAATGTGTATGCCCAAATATGGAATTAAAATAATATGAGATAAGGAAAGTTTGATACAATATTCGTCATTCGTGTGTCGGAACTAAAGGGTATTAGGGCTTTAACACAAGGGTAAGATTTGATAGATTTACTTTTTTTTTGTTGGAAGTATTTCAATATAGTTAACTTTGTTTTTATATATTTTCTGGCAATATGGTCCTATTTAAACGGTTGTTTATATATATATTGCAAAAATATCGTTTACATACGTTCATATAACCTGTCAAGAATATTATATTTATAACGAATTAATAATAATCCATCTAACTTCGTTAGATAAAAATGAAATTACTTCATAAATCGACTGCAGCCGTGTGTATAAATAATTTAATTGTCACGATAATCCAATGAAAAAAGGCGTTACAAAGTGCTTCCTCCATAATTAAAAAAAATCAATGAAGTTGAAAAATGCATTGACACTAAAATAAATAAAATAAAAAAATACACCAGCAACAACAACAACAAAATAAAAAATAATCACTTGAAAAATAAATTATTATTATTATAATTATGGTTTATTCATTCTGAAATATTATCTTATAATTTGTGCAAAAGACCCTCTAATTTCATTCTGCTATAATTGCAAATTTCAACAACAGAACATTTCATTCACCCGGCAGCATGTTTTATTGCATTAACAAGTTTTTAAATATCGTGTATCATTGTTTCTTTTAACTTTTACAATCGCTTCTTATTCTAACCATAGCTATTCACTAAGAAAATGATATGGATATACGGAAGTGTACAGAATTCCGTATATCATTAATATACGGGTAAGAATACGGGAAACTTGAAATATGGAGATGTACGGGACCGTATATTATGTCAGTCCGTATATGACTAATATACGGTGATCCGTACACTCGTAATATAAGGGAACTTTGATATACGAAGTCCGTACTTTAATGATGTACGGAATTTTTATAACAAGTCCGTATATTACTAAAATACGAAATTCGTGCAAATACGGATTCTGTCTAAAGAAATAGCGAATAAAGATTTACTTCTGAATCGCCTATTTCCTGTAAGAGGAAAGAAATAGTCTGATCATATATTTGTCAGACATATGACAAAATAACATAAAACAGGAAAGCTTTAACACAATGTGATATTTTCTTGGGGTATTAACACGTCAATTGCATACTAATAATATCGTCAGTGCACAGAACGTGTAAGACATCCATCTGTAGCATGCAGACAAAGAACGACAACGTATATTGAAATATATTCTTTTGTATACAACGCAACGCGGTATTCTAGCTAAAAATTGGTTTGCTCTTTAGCATACAGCCGCAGATAAATAGCGAATACTTTACAATTGCAATTGACGATAAGATAGTATTTTTTGTATTCTGCATTTATGGTGAATCATGTTATTTTGTAATTTCTTTATCATTATCATTATAATATTTTAAAATGATCAGCCAAACATGAGAAAATGATAAAGTTAAAATTGTGATGCTCAAAACATGAATTAATTATATTAAAATCGTGAATCTGTAAAGTTGAAGTCGTGAAAGGTACAATTGTTAAATCACGAAGATAAAATCGGGATTGTCCACACAGTATTTGAATTTTACGTTTATATATATCCTATAAATAATGTAACATATGTACTTGCATGTGTAAAAAACAACAACAATGATATCTCATTCATTCATTCATTCATTCATTCATTCATTCATTCATTCATTCATTCATTCATTCATTCATTCATTCATTTATTCATTCATTCATTCATTCATTCATACATGCATTCATTCATCCATGCATTCATCCATTCATTCATTCATTCACATTCATTCATTCATTGATTGATTGATTGATTGATTGATTGATTGATTCATTCAATCATTCATTCATTCAATCAATCAATCATTTATTCATCACTCATTTATTCTTATATTTATTTTTATTTATTTATTTATTAATCATTTATTTATTTCAGGAAACATAAAAGTTTGCATTTTGTACACAAGTTTGGAATAGAAATCTTATAAGTTCCGAATTCCCCAATTTTGATTCTTTTCGCGCGGTCTCTTTTCTGACATAATATTGTGTAACAGCCACGTGCGGCATTGCGATAATCGAAGCCAGTACTGATTAAGCCGGATATTGATCATAAACGCAGCAGGGTTTTACGAGTGTCGGTCTGTTTACGTAAGTTAGCGCAATTGATGTTGAATGTCTTAACGGTAATTTTCACTGTTAATTTCTAATATAATTCATGTAAGAAATAAGGGAATTAAATTGGGATCTCATAACCGAGTTTCTATGTGATTTTGTTTCCAGATATTATAAAGATTCTATCCTGACATATTAAAGTGAAACAGACATAGCTGTTGTATTCTTTCCAATGTTTATGCAGCGTCGTGTTGTTGTTATCCTTTTATATCTGATTTAAACAAGACACAATTATAGAAAATACATGGTTGATGTCGGGATGGAGAAGGTTTATCCGGTGAGCGAGAAAGTGTATCTTGGCGAGCTTTAGCGAGCCAAGATTCACTTTCGCAGCGAACCGGATAAACCTTCTCCATCCCGACATCAACCATGTATTTGATTTATCCTGCTTTTATCATGTTTTTAGAATAATAAAATGGTTTCATTCTTCTTTTTCCCCGATAAAATAGCATCTATATGCAGCTTTGTTTTGCTGCTAAATATGTGACGTCATTATATGACGTAATGACTGGAGATAGATAAGTTTATCTGGCAAGGCTTTATCCAGCTGATGATACAGACAGTAGCAGGATAAATAGAGAATACATGGTTGATGTCGGGATGGAGAAGGTTTATCCGGTGAGCGAGAAAGTGTATCTTGGCGAGCTTTAGCGAGCCAAGATTCACTTTCGCAGCGAACCGGATAAACCTTCTCCATCCCGACATCAACCATGTATTTGATTTATCCTGCTTTTAATCATGTTTTTAGAATAATTAAATGGTTTCATTCTTACTTTTCCCCGATAAAATAGCATCTATATGTATTTTTGTTTTGCTGCTAACCATGTGACGTCATCATATGACGTAATGACTGGAGATAGATAAGTTTATCCGGCAGGCCTTTATCCAGCTGATGAAATAGACAGTAGCAGGATAAAAGTTTATCTTAAAGTAAATTGTGAAGTACCCTGCCGCCAGGTCCATCATCTCCAAACATTTGATGATTGTTGATATTATGTACGTATATATATATGTTGATGTCATACACTGTTGGTTATTTTGTATGTTTGTGTCCTCATTTGCTTTAAAGCCTATTTGAATGAAATAAAGTATCTACTGCATAATAGAAACTGGGAAATATTATGAATAAAGTCCCAAACAGAACAGTTATTCCATTAGAGCAGATAATGAATAAAAAGTTTTTTTTATATAAGTACTGAGCTTTCAACACACATACATTAATTTAATTACAGTTGTCAAACTAAAATATATGATAAATTTTACTATTAATTATCAATCCTTTATAAAAGCAATTTAATATTTTAGAATTTTGATAATTCGACTAAAAAAATAAAAATAAAAAGTACATTCTCTTGAGAAGTTATCTTTTATTTTTATTTTCATGTTTTACCCGCTTATTATTGTTGTTACAAAAAATTGTGTAATTTATGAATATTTCTTAGCGCTTCTAAAACGTCTTTTTTTTTATTATCATCATCGTCATCATCATCATTATTTTTCGATTACACAATAATTTATGTACATATTTTAACATCCTTGATTACTGTGAATCTCCTATTAACACCTGACTATTTCTTTTTTGCCAGGCCAGTTTTTGGCAAATTCAACCCATATTTTCATGCGCTAAAGAAAAATGCAACTCTCTTAAATTTGCGTTCGTTTATTACAAATATCAAAGAAGATATGTTTCGTTTTTCCATCTGAACTTTTATTGTTGTAAAAATGCATCAAAGGTTTGCAATTGCCATGGTATATTTGTTTTGCCATGGATTTTCGACATTTTGCTATCACAATCATAGTTTGCCATGACAAATAATTTATTGACATTATTCTAACACATTATTAAGGTGTCATTGTTGTATGTATTAAATTTAGAATTCAAAAAATGCTTAAACGTATAGAAATTAGTCTAACACATTATTAAGGTATCATTGTTGTATGTATTAAATTAAGAAGTCGAAGTTTTGTTATTTTGCAACGGCAATTTTACCATGACATTTCCGTGGCAAACGTTTTCTATAGAAGAAAAACATCATCATCATCACCACCATCTTATCATAATACTTGTCTTATTTGTCACCATCTTTACCATCAATTTTAATCACCAGTAATTGTTCGAAATAATGATTGATAAGTAATCAATCAGTTGCGGAAACATTAGTTATTACTGTTTTGTTTTCTCTAGAAAAGCCGAAAAGTTGGAGTCAGCGCAAGTTTTCAACGTTAACATTTTTCTTAATAATTAACATGGTACTCAAAACATTTATAAGCACATTTCTTGGTGTAATTAATAATGAATCATTCTTTATATTTTTCAAATTTGTTGATATAGTATAAGTGTTAGCAAAATAACAAAGTGTTCGCAAAATAACATAATAGTTATTCTGGGTTAATTAAAATTTATTATTTTCCAATTTTGTGTTCAAATATAATGTCGCTTTCAAAAAAGACATTTTAGATCAATATGAATCGGAGCATGTGTCGAAAACAAAAAGATGTCGTGATCTCAAAAAACCCTTGTGTCATGTTAATGAAAATAAATACTTATGTACATGTAAAAGCATTAAATGCC